GAGGATATGAAGAGACAATTCTCCAAAGAAGAAATTCAGATGGCCAACAGACACATGAAAAGATGCTCCACATCACTAATCATCAGGGAAATGCAAATTAAAACCGCAATGAGATATCACCTCACACCAGTAAGGATGGCCAACATAGAAAAGACTAAGAACAACAAATGCTGGTGAGGATGCGGAGAAAGGGGAACCCTCCTACACTGCTGGTGGGAATGTAAATCAGGTCAACCATTGTGGAAAGCAGTATGGAGGTTCCTCAAAGAGCTCAAAATAGAAATACCTTTTGATGCAGGAATTCCACTTCTAGGAATTTACCCTAAGAATGCAGCAGCCCAGTTTGAAAAAGACAGATGCACCCCCATGTTTATTGCAGCACTATGTACAATAGCCAAGAAATGGAAGCAAGCTAAGTGTCCATCAGTAGATGAATGGATAAAGAAGATGTGGTACATATACACAATGGAATATTATTCAGCCATAAGAAGAAAACAAATCCTACCATTTGCAACAACATGCATGGAGCTTAGAGGGTATTATGCACAGTGAAATAAGCCAGGCGGAGACAAGTACCAAGTGATTTCACTCATCTGTGGAGTATAACAAAGGAAAAACTGAAGGAACAAAATAGCAGCAGACTCACAGAACCCGAGAATGGACTAACAGTTACCATAGGGAAAGGGACTGGGGAGGATGGGTGAGAAGGGACGGATAAGAGAATTAGGGGGCATTACGATTAGCACACATAATGTAAGGGGGGCACAGAATAGCAAGTACAGCAGAGGGAAGACAAATAGTGACTCTACAGCATCTTACTATGATGTTGGACAGTGACTGTAATGGGGTATGTGGTGGGGACTTGATAATGGGGGGAATGTAGTAACCACAATGTTGCTCATGTGATTGTGTATCAATGATACCTTAATAAAAAAATATCACATGCACAAGTTTTTCATGCAAGGGAAATTTATCTTTAGATTAAAACAACTATACTATATGGACTAAAATGAAAAGGTAAGTATTGTATGTATTTATGAAATATTATTGCTTACCTGGGCTGCGTATGTAATTGCCTCAAGCTGTAATGCTGATAGCCAGCCATTATCAATGGTTTCTTCAGAAATGGATGTTTTATACCAAACATCAGGAGGAGTAACACTGGATAAAGAACTAGTTTCCACTACAGCATCTGGGTGACGTAGGCCAATTTTTACTAAAAGAAAATTTAACAATACTTCTTTTTAATTATTCTGGGTATCTGATCTTATCAGGTATTATAATATATGACAGAGAAAATATAACTAGTAAATAAGTAAGTATACACTCTGGAATTTTATTAAAAACTAATTGATGGTGAACTATTGTTTAAAGGTAATTAAAATGACCTATTTATCAAATACCTATGGTTTAAATAATTTAAATAACCTATTTGTCAAATACCTATGGTTTAAATAGAGACTTGTCAATCAAAAAGAGCTAGAAAAATACAAACTTAGTTCACACCACCACGTTCTCCAGTAGTAACAGAACGTAATCCTAAATTAATTTACTTGAATGAATCATTGACTTCAATCAATGAAACAAAAGTTTGCAATGTAATTTTTATCCTAAAACATATTTCAAATGAATTCTTGGTTATAAAATTAAACAGAATTAATTCCCCCAAATGTATAATGTAAACAGTTTAAAATAAGGGTTGGAAAACTTTCTCTATAAATGGTCAAACAGTAAGTTTTTTCAACTTTGTGAGGCACCTGGTGTCTTTTACTTATAACTACTGAATATTGCTGTTGTAGCAGCATAAAAGCAGCCACAGTTAATAAATAAACCAATGGGTATGTCCATGTTCTAATAAAACTTTATTATAGAAACAGGCAGGTCTGGATTCAGTTTGCTGACCTCTGGTTTACAGGGCCAGGGATAAACTTTCAATCTTTTTGTGAAAACTACTGGTGGGGGTGAGGGGACAGGTGACCATAGAACGTCAAATAAAACAATACCACAATCTAAAGTTCATTTTAAATGACCAGAAAAAATCACAGGATCTTAGGGGTCCACACAGTTGGTATGTGATTTTAATATACATGGTACTATTAGTGTCTTTTATAGAAATCCAGAGTATATAAAAAACTAATTAGTCACATATTAGTTTTCATCTTATTACTCCATGTAATGAAAAAGTGAAAATTTTACACAAAAACTAAAAACTATAAAATTTCAACTTAATATAGTGGCCACTTAAAAAAAGAATCGTGGCCATTAAGGCAGAAATAGTGTTAATGTAAACCACAGAATTCAAATAGCACATTTTTAACATTACATTTTATGATTTTAGATGAGCTATATAAAAGAAATAATTCTATGATACATATTTCTATCTTAATTATTTACATATATATGTGGATTTTATAATCACCGCCGATATGAGCAAAATTAACTTAATATAAAACAAGTCTTTTACTCTTGGTTTTAAAAGACTTCAACCTAACACAACTCTTCATTTGTGTAGGAAAAAATAAACGAACAGTGTATGTACATATTTCTAAACATACGGTTTGAAACAGTACAAAGCTTGATACTTGTCAAATCCTGAGGTACCCAACACTGAGAGATTCTAATAGATGCTAATGTGTCAGAAAGCAACAAGGTTACAAGGAACACATAAGTCTTTCATTACCATGACAAATTCCACATACATACATTTTATAGGCATATACTCTGCATAGGTTTCTGCGTGACCCATTTCTTCTTCATCTTCCTCCTCTGGTTCATCTTCCTCTTTCACAACAGGGACCTTCTATAACAGAGAGAGCATAATCAACTCTAAGTCCAGAGACTGAAGGCCCAGCCACACTTCTGAACCCTCTTCTCTAATACCCCCAGTCTTTAACCTTGGAAACACGACATATGTTTCCCTACACTTCCACACTCCCGAAAATTGAGGTCACACTTTGTGGCTTCCCTGATTCTCCAATGATGAGCACAGACAATCTGTGCCCTGCTCTCATTGCTCACACACAGATGGGTCAGCACAGGGCTACCCCTTCCTTCCAGCCACCATCACACCTTAACTACTTTCCCCTTCAGTATTTCCTACCATGCTCCCTGATACTCAGAACTCCAACCTCAGTCCTCACGTTTCATTGCAGTTCCAGGAATAAAGACCAAGAGGTTTGGGGACTTCATGAGAACAAACTCTGTTTAAGTCTCACATCCCACCATCTTTTTCAGCTCACCTCCATCTGTCTTCTTTCTTCCTGTCCTAAAACCAAACTCCCAGAAAACTCTACAGTTTAAAGCTCCTTCTGAAGGACAGAGCATTTACTTCAGAAAGCTGTGTTCTCCCAGACACAACAAGAATCATACATAGGATAGTCGTATCATTTACACCTGAGTAAAACAGGGCACTATTAGTAACTACACTAGGAAAACAGGAACTGTCCCAGACAAACAGGGTGAGTTGTCTCCATAGTTCTGTTCCCTTGTGCTTTTCCAGACAATCTTAAAGGGGTAAAGGGAGGGAGGAAGAGGGGAACAGGAAGACCCTGAACAAGCTGCTTCTCACTACCAGGAAAACCATTAGAAAAGCTCTTTATTGATATGTGCAGTTTTAAGGAAAAGCATAGAGAAGAAGCTATGAAACCTAGTATACCACGGAAGGAAGGAGGAAAAAGAGAACCCAGTCAGGATCTAGTAATGATAAGGATGACATGGCATTGAAAGGTAGGCATGGGCTCTTTCTAAAATTTATTTATTTTTATGTAATCCAGAGCAGAATTTGATGACACACAGAGCTCAATAAATGTGGGAAGAAAAAGGTAGGTGGGAGATAAGTACCCAATCAGTATCAACTCACCATATCCTCAGAAAAAAAATTTTTTTTAATTTCGAATGTTCTCAGAAAGTATGCCAAAATGAAACCCAATTTCACAAACTGGAGACAAAATGAGATTGGCCAAAGAAACAGATACAAATCCCAATTCTGTTATTTATTTGTGTAGGCTTGGTCAAATTAGTTGAATCCTCAACCCCACCTTTGCATCTTTTCCTCACTATTGAGGAAAACAGGAATGCATACTATGCTAAATGACAAACCTCTTCTTTTCTCCCTCTTACATTCTGCTTATTAAAAACAAAAAAATCACCCTGAGCATAATTTCAGGATGAACTGGTAATACTTAAGGGTCACAAAATCCAGGAACCAGACAGGTAGTATTTCTAAGCCAGCTGGATGTAAAATAGCAACTGATACCGAACCTAGTTCAAAGAGGTAAATTGGGAGGAGACTATGGTACATGGCAAAAACCCACTCAACACACAAAGTAGTTGTCCACTACTCAACTCTAGGCATGTTTTACTAGGTGGGGAATGTGGGCCCAGGGTGGTCACGTACTCATTTTTCAAGAGAAATTGGAAATCATGATTTTTATGTGTTAGCAAAAAATTCAAAATTTTCAAAATATTGTGGAGGCCAAACAGAACACATCTGTCAACTGCTTTTGTTCAATAGGCTACCAGTTGGCGATTGCTGTTAGATGTTTCTTAACTGCTAGGACAATCCAGAACTTTTGGCATGTTATGGGCAAACAACATAGGCTAGACTGAGAACCTGAACACCACAGGAAACATTTCTTGAAAAATGCATTCTTACTTTCCAAAAATCAACTTTCAAAGTAAGCTCTTGGCACACAACTATTAAGTAATCTGAGTACTGCCAGCACTTGTCCTCTTAGACCCCCGTCAAAAACCTCAGGCACAGGTTACTTTGCTGCCTCTCCAAAGCCATATTCCATCCCCAAGTGTTTATCAATCGTTTTGTATTGTTATATATAGTCATCTCATATTTTCTTTCTTTTTTCCTTTCCCCTCACCCTTTTCCAATCCTCCAAACTCAGTCCCTTATCACTTCCCTTCTCCATTTCTTAACCAACCTCCCAACCTAACCCATCATGAATCACCAACAGGTCCCTTCACTTCCAGTAGTCCTCGCTGGTGCTGCACCAAGTCCAAAGTCCTTCACTCAACTCAGGATCCTCCACAGAGCCAGAGGCAACCATTCCAACTTCTTCCTACAAACCAAGTACCCTGGCTTACTGTCACCTAAGCACATAAGCCACCATCTCCTCTGTGCCTATTGATGCTTCAGCTCCCTTCCTAAAATGCCCTCTCAAAGTCTCTCCATATTCAACACCAAACTCCATTATATTATACCTCCTCTTCAAAGCAATCTTCCTAGGCCATTTGGGTCCACAGACCTCCCTTCCTCCAAACTCATAACCCTTATTGTGAGCTTCCCAACATACCTATGGATGTATCTTACATTGTGTGTGAGCTTTGCAACATGCCTATGGATGTATCTTACATTACTACTTAAACCACATGGTTGATGGCATGTTATGGGCAAACAACATAGGCTAGACTGAGAACCTGAACACCACAGGAAACATTTCTTGAAAAATGCATTCTTACTTTCCAAAAATCAACTTTCAAAGTAAGCTCTTGGCACACAACTATTAAGTAATCTGAGTACTGCCAGCACTTGTCCTCTTAGACCCCCGTCAAAAACCTCAGGCACAGGTTACTTTGCTGCCTCTCCAAAGCCATATTCCATCCCCAAGTGTTTATCAATCGTTTTGTATTGTTATATATAGTCATCTCATATTTTCTTTCTTTTTTCCTTTCCCCTCACCCTTTTCCAATCCTCCAAACTCAGTCCCTTATCACTTCCCTTCTCCATTTCTTAACCAACCTCCCAACCTAACCCATCATGAATCACCAACAGGTCCCTTCACTTCCAGTAGTCCTCGCTGGTGCTGCACCAAGTCCAAAGTCCTTCACTCAACTCAGGATCCTCCACAGAGCCAGAGGCAACCATTCCAACTTCTTCCTACAAACCAAGTACCCTGGCTTACTGTCACCTAAGCACATAAGCCACCATCTCCTCTGTGCCTATTGATGCTTCAGCTCCCTTCCTAAAATGCCCTCTCAAAGTCTCTCCATATTCAACACCAAACTCCATTATATTATACCTCCTCTTCAAAGCAATCTTCCTAGGCCATTTGGGTCCACAGACCTCCCTTCCTCCAAACTCATAACCCTTATTGTGAGCTTCCCAACATACCTATGGATGTATCTTACATTGTGTGTGAGCTTTGCAACATGCCTATGGATGTATCTTACATTACTACTTAAACCACATGGTTGTCAAATTCTGTTTATTAAAGGGGGAGCCATGCAGTACACTTCTTGTAGAAACCCACCATACACACACATGCAAGTATTATACAGTGTAGTTATTGAATAAATGTACAGAATTAACTGACCTGAAGCATACAGCATTCCAAAATATAAGAAAAAGAATTATCACATAATTATTCATAATCAAACCATTATATGACAGCTCATAACTAGCTATATATTCAGGTTCAATCTTAAAATGAACAGTTATCAAATACTTTTGGTCAACCCCCAGTGTCTTTTTTCTGCTCTTAAGCGATTCAAAATTAAAAGGTATCAATATAGCATGTAATACTATATGCTATCAAATATGCAAGCTATAAATCTTGTTTTTAGTACATATTAGCTTAGCCTAGTGGGTTTTAATGTTTATTCATTAGTGTTTGTCACTGAGTAGCCCCTCTTCACCTAGAAGTTTTCTCAGGATTGTTTTAGAGCACTTTTAGCCAACTGTACTTTCATATCACATAAAAACACAAATACAGCTTTTGAAACTCACCATGGTTGGTGAAAAACTCCTCATTTTCATGTCATTGATCCATATTCTTGCTACTTCTTTATTAGAAGACTCTTTCTTTACTGTACCATTGCTTACATCAGCTGAGGGGGAAGGTTAATTTACATTTTAGAATAGAATCTCAATTTCTTTTCCTGCAGTTTTTTAAAAAATTCAGTAAAGTTTACCCACTTCACAAACCAAAGAACACCAATCTGCTTACCACTAACTTAAAGTAAGCAGAGGGATGAAAACATTCAAAGCTATGTGTCATTGGATATAAAAATTAACCTCAAAACCAAGCAACTTAAAAGGAAATGTATGCACAGGAAATGTGAAAACTATTTATCAAAAAGACACCTTAACTTGGACTATTTGATAATTCATTTCAATACAAATACCAAGAACCTCGTTGTTATACTCCACAAATGAGGGAAATCATTTGGCACTAGGGTTATTATGTTTAGTACAGATGGTGTGAGAGGTCACGGGGAAGACAGTGTAGCACAGAGAAGGCAAATAGTGAATCTGTGGCATCTTACTACACTGATGGACAGTGACTGCATTGGGGTATGGGGGGGACTTGATAATATGGGTAAATGTAGTAACCACATTGTTTTTTCACGTGAAACCTTCATAAGAGTGTATATCAAAAATACCTTAATAAAAAAAAAAGAAAATAGTATTCAACAGGCGAGAAATTAAAGTAACAGACAACATACTTAAAAAATCCAAAAGCTGGAAGAAAAAAAAAACAAATACCAAGAGCCAGTATTACTTTGACACTTGACTTGATTCATTAAAACAAAACAAACTTACTGTTATCAACAAGATAGAATCAGTTCTCACCTGATTTGTAGCACTTACTTTCAAGGCAAAATAATTTCTAGATGGAAAAAAAAGCAATTTGGGAACTCTATATTCCTCCTTCCCTAAAAATAAAGATCCAAACGATGAACCTTTTCTTCTTCTATACCAACGGTTTGCAAACTCTTCCTAGAATAGCAATAGAACCCCTTAATCCAAGTATCAATTAAAGTAGCACTGCATGATGAGGAGGCCAGAGCACCTGCAGCCTGCATCCTCCAGATATCCATCCCTAAAGCACTCCCAGTACATGGGACTCTAGAGATCACAGTGTGAAAATTTTATCAGGTGGACTGATTACCATCTCATCTATTTTACGAAAAGATGGGGGCATTTGGGAGGCCTGCCACTTCAGACTCCAAAAAAACTAGGATTAAAGGGTTAACAAAGTAATGAAGCTATAACAGAGATAATCAATTTATCTGAGGTCATGATTTGTTTAATACCACTGTGGGAGACCCAGTGAATAGTACATAGAAAGAGTTACAGGGCTGGGGCTCAAGTGAGAGATCAAAGCCCAAAGAGAAACCCAAAGGACTAAGAGTTAAGGGCTCTGGGCTCCAAAAGGGGCAATACCCACACAAACAAAAGAAGATGCAAAACCTTAGTCTCTACAGTTTCACACTTTGAGTGTTCTTCCTTTTCAGTAAAAAGTTGGCCTGTACTACAACACAGACATTTGCTTACTATCTTCTGCATTCACTTATCATGTTTCTTTTTCAGGCCTGGTCTAGTCTGACAGAGTTTCTCCGGCTTCCACACAAGGATGGCCTTCATATGCAGTCTTTTGTCTTTCAACGGTTACTACATTGGAGGTGAGAGATGTTACTGTACTAGCTGCTACAAAGTCAGCTCCAAAGCTGTCCTGTTTGGTTTTCCTCTTTAAACTCCTTCCTCACAATGGCTTAGTCCCCTCCTTTAAATTATGAAGACATATGCTTATTTGAGCAGTGGAATACTTAGAAAGTCACTCACCTAAAAGCAACTGTCTTTCTCATCATTAAACCCAAAGACTTTAACGAAAAGCAGCTTCCACTAACTGCTGTTCATATCAAAGTCTCCAAGGAGCCATTCCAGAGGCTGTCCTATACTTCAGCTAGGTCAGGGCCACAGTCCTACTCTCCGCTCCCGTGGCAGAAAATGGAAATCAGTCCTAAGACAGTTAAGATGATCTCTCAGTGAGCAGCTAGCTGCCACACTGTGCTTATTACTAATTCATGACCTTCGGAGTGAAACTATACAGCCAAAGGGTACAATGGTATGGACCCAAACATAAAGATTAGATCTCATATTCAAAATAACATCTGCCACTGGAGACAAAGTTAGTCCTACATCATCCTACACATACTTCTTGCCCATTCCTTTAGAATGCCCCTAGCCTTCTACTTTATAAACACAAGCACGTTACAACTTCCAAGCAGTCAATTCTGTCACAAAATTATCTATTGGTCTGTATCAAGTATTAAAACTTATCTCCCACAATGAGAAAAATAAAGCAGCTGTTTGGAAGAAGGACGTGACTATTCAGTATCTCTCAGTTCATTCCAAGAGCCTGGCAGGATGCTACATATATACTGGTATAAATAATCAGGAAACTCCATTCTATCCCATTGATCCAAAATACAACAATCCCACAGAAATTTATTAAAAAAAAAAAAAAAAAAAAG